CGGCATATAAATCTAATAAACCTAAACCTAAACTTGCCACCAGAAGTTGAGGGTGCTCCATCAATGGAGGTTTTTAAGAGACTGGATAGCTATGAATGCAGTACTGCTGGCTGCTTCTGCTGCCTGCCGACTGCCAGACATTTAACAGTTCAAATCTCACCAGGCTCAAGGTTGACCCATCCTTCCAGTAAAATAAGGACCCAGATTGTTGGGGGTAAGAGGCTGACTCTGTAAACTGCTTAGAGAGGGCTGTAAAAGCACTGTGGTATATAAGTTTAAGTGCTATTGCAATCTATCGATCTATCTCCACAAGAGCTGTGGTGGTACAGTGGTTAGAATGTAGTATTGCCGATTAATTCTGCCAACTGCCAGCAGTTCGATCCTGACTACCTCAAGGATCCTGACTGTCTCAAGCTTTCCATCTTTCTGAAAAAGGTGGCTGGTAAAATAAGGACCCAGATTGTTGGGGGCAAGAGGCTGACTCTGTAAACCGCTTAGAGAGGGTTGTTAAAGCATGTATAAGTCTAAGCTCTATTGCTATTGCTATTTGTCCGGAATGGTATGTATACAGTCCCTTGCTTGAGCAGGGGGGGTTAGACTAGAAGACCTCCAAAGTCCTATACAACTCTGTTATTAAATTAGGTTCCTCATCAAACCAGCGCCTGGACCCCCAAGGAAAGACCGTCACCTGCCCCATGTCCTGCTGAACGAACGGCGGAATGTTTTAGCCGCAGCTCATCAGGTGAGATCAACATTCCTTTTTCAGGATGGTTCTTCCCGTTAAAATTTTGTGTGTTTCGTTGGATGTATTGATTTGATCAACGTTGCTGCCCATCTCACAGTGGCTCCCATTTGAAAGCAAGCCAGTTGTTGGCAAGTCAGCAACGCAGAGCTAAGCCGACAGATTCACAAGCCATGCTAACTGCAAATCAGATAAACCACAGACTCGCTGGTTTTTACACAAAGCACTTAATTTGGTCTTGGGAATACCTGTTTTCCTGGGTTCAGCCAATAGAATGAATTGTTAGAAGAATTAAATGGCCCGAGTTTAAAACCAACATGCGAAACTACCAAACCCATTTAGAATAAGAACTACTCCATCTTTAACCCAGTTTAAATAAATTGTGCGTACCCAATCAGTGGCTAAATGCAAGGAACAGATATGGCACTTACGATATGCCTACAATAAAATCCATAGGAATCCAATGCTAAAGAAAAAAATACATTTAAACCTTTTTTTTATTTTTGAGGATCTCGTATAATTTCCCCCCAAAAAAATCATACTAAAAGTATACTCAAAATTGTACGGGTGGAATTTTTGAAAAATTTACAAGAATTTGGGCAATTTTTAAAGGTTTTTTTTAGCTATGCAAATACCTGAAACAATTTCTAAATCTTAACATGGTGTGTCAACCATTATTTTCTATCTAAAAATTTAGATTCGGGCTGTATGTTGCCGAGTATCCATTTTTAACAAATGGTAAACTTGGGAAAATTAATGAAAACTACTTAAGTTTAAAAAGAATCGCTAACGCAGAAGGCAGATTTGCCTCTGTTGCCTTATTCTGATATTGTGCAGGCTTGAATGAGCCCTCGTGGCGCAGTGGCTAAAGTGTAGTATTGCAGGCTAACTCTGCTCACAGCCGGGAGTTCGATCCTGACNTTTGACGGGTCACGAAAAAAAGCACCTTTGGGACAGCCATGACCTGGTTGACTGAGAATCTCTACAGACTTTTAGCTACACAATTTGGGGTGAACACTCTTTGAATGGTGCAGGAGGAGGAACGGATTTCCAGAGGAAAAAAGTATATTTGCAGACTACAGAAACCAGGAGCATCACTCAGGTGACCCTAAGACACAGATGAACCCCACCCCCCAAGGGGCCTCAACGACCCTCTAAAAAGGATGCAAATGATCGGCTGGGTGCAAGGAATATAAATCCTTCCATTCCCCGCCATCCTTATCAGAGCTGAAGAAGCTTCTTGGATGAGAAGTGAAACGTCTTCGAAAGAAAAACAGGGAAGTCCAGATGCTTCCTGAAAAAAGCATTTTTGGACTACCTGTCGGTAGGTAATTAGAATTCAAGGTTCTATCTTTCTTGATTTGGAGTGGGTGGGTGTCCTATGCCACCTTTTTCTCCAGGAGAAACCAACCTCAACTTCTTTACCGAGTTGGCACAGCTAAGGTGGCACCAGGGACTGTATCCCCACCCCGCCCAAAAGGCCACCCCACACACTAACCACTACACCACCCAGTCTTTTTCCTAAATCTGAGATTTCTGGGGGCAGATGATGTTGCTTCCAAGCCCCCCCCCTCCCCCGTGCACAGGGCTGTCTTAACTCCGGTGGGCCCCACAAGCATAGGGGCCCCATACTCATCTGTGTATGATAACCCTGTATCCTATAAATACAGCAACATGTTTATTATATTTTACTGCGGTTTATTAATACTAACATGCATTAATAGAAATCAACACTGATAAAATATCAGAATAGAAATATCAATATATAATATCGCACACATTAACCGCTGCAAAGGATCGCCTTTGCACAAAATTGGAAACAAAAAAACTACCCTTCCCAGACGAAATGGTAATTAGGAAGATACTCGACTGTGCCAAAATGGACAGGATGACTATGGAATTAAAAGAAAGAGAAGAGTCGGGAGTATTATAAAATTGGGAGTGGGCTGTACAAGTGGCTAGAGAATAGAACCCAACGCGAGACATAAATCTTAAGAACTATTGATTATAACAAGAAGAAAAATGTATGTATCTAATCGCCGAGTATGTGTATTATAATATTCTATCACAATATAATTTCTACATTAGTATTAGAATTGTTAAATTCTATGAGAAATAGAAGAGTAAAGTACAAAAGCAGAATATACATGCTGATAGGGGAAAGCTGTAAAATTATATCATATTGTCATGTTTATGTTTTTTTAATCTGTTGGTATTTATTTTTTGTATTTTTGTTTTTCCCCCCCTTTTTCTCTTTTTACTTGTGGTTTTTTAAACTTGAAAATGTTTAATAAAAACTATTTTAAAAAAAGAAATGAAGACTGATAAATCTATGTTTAATTGTATGGACCATTTTACATTTTTATCCCTGGGAGGAGTTGTCGTAGGGGCCCATCAAGCTGTTAAGACGGCTCTTGCCCGGGCGCCCCTCGCTTTCGCCCGCAACGAGTCGGGCTTGATGGGGCAGGAGCTCTCGCCTCGGCCCCGTCTGGCGCGGAGCGAGCCAAAGGCGGCCGCGGCGGCACCGACTTTCCGCGGGGCTTGGATCGCCGAGCCGGATTGTCGGCGTCACGCGTGGAAAGCGCCTCCTTTCCTCCGCTTCGTCCGAAGAGCGGAGCGGCGGCGCCTTGCCTTTGCAGCCGGGGATGGAGGCGCTCGTGCCCGGCTGCAAACCCCGCCGAGCCTCGGCTGCAGACGCCAGCGGGGCCGGCTCAGCGGCCGGAGCTGCGCCCTCCCCGGCCGGCCTACTTTCCGCCAGCCAGGTGGTGCTGCCCAACTCCCGCCGAGCAGCTTCCCGGGGAAACGAAACGAAGGGAGGCCGGCGCGGGCTCGCCCAAGGACTCCGCCGCTCGCCCTGCGCGCATCGACCACCCTCCCACGCGCTCCCCCAACACGGGTCTGCGGCTTCACACGTGCATGCTGAGCCTATCGGCTGCTTGGAAAAGAAAGGGAAAGGGGACGGAAAAAAAAAACCCGCGTCCTGGCCGCCACTTTCTTGCATTGGTTGCAACGCGCGGGGGTCGTGGTAGTGGGGGATTAAAAGTAACCCATTCCGACGACCACCCTTCTGCCCTTCGCCCGGAAGGGAGTTTCCACCCACCGGGTGGTCAGGCAGCTATGTAGATCAGCTCTCTTCCCACCCCCGCCCCGGGTTCTTCCTGTCTTCAGGCCCGGCCTGGCCTCTTCATGCATTATACACGTGTCGCGTCTTGGAAAAAAACGGCCTTCACACGTGCACGCGGCGGGGCTCCAACACGCGGGTGGGGGGGGAAATGGAAAGATTTGCAGCCGCCCGATTGGTTTATAAGCCACACGCTCGGGGGTGGGGAGGATTGGGGGGGATCCCCGGAGCTTCTGAAGATCGTTCGCGGCCACTTCCGGGATGAGGCTGTCGGAGGCGAGGAAATCGCAACTGAGCAGCCCTCTTGGGTCGATCGGGCTCAGCCTGGGTGGGGAACCGAATGCGTGTCGGCTTTCCTCCCGGGGCGAGTCTGTCTGCGGCTGTGAGCGGGCTTAGCGACAAGGTCGAACGTGAGAATCCGACCCCCGGTCTCTAAATAGGGTCGGAAACCAAAACTCATTTGGCGATGTCCAAAGTTCCCCCAAAGGAGGGGGAAACGAGGCTCCGGCTGTCCCAAATAGGGACGACCGCCGTGCACACGAAACGCTTGGGTTTTCTAATGACGATTATGCCCTTGCTTTGAATTTCTGGNAACTGTACTACTAACAATGACTGCAATGATTCACTTAACAACTGTACTACTAACTTAATGACTGCAATGATTCACTTAACAACTGTGGCAAGAAAGGTCATACAATGGGACAAAACTGACTTCACAAATGTCTCACTTACCAACAAAAATCTGGAAGACTTGGAAGATCAGATTAGGTACAGATCATCCTGCATTAAACCATCTAAATGGTTACTAAGAGTTGACACAGATTTAATGGCCCATAATCAATCAATTAACCAATCCCCAACAAAATTAATCAAGTGGGCAGGTAACACTACAGGTAAGTCCTTGACATACACCTATTTGTTTAGGTTTAGGTTTATTAGATTTATATGCCGCCCTTCTCCCAAGGACTTAGTGGCCATTCGAAGCTGTAACAGCCCTGAAAAAAAGTGATATGATCATTTTTCACACTTGAGACCATTGTAGTATCCCCGTGTCATGTGACCAACTTGGCAACTGGCTCATATCTATGACGGTTGCAGTGTCCTGTGGGTCACATGATCCTCTTTTTACGACCACCCGACAAGCAAAGTCAAGGGGGAAGCCAACCGTGCTTAGCAACTGTGCTTCTAACTTCACAAAACGGCAATTATTCTCTGAACCAATGGTGGCAAGAAAGGAGCATCAACCTTTCCATTCCCTCCAGCCAGAGATGAAGAAACTTCTGGGGTGAGAAGCAAAACGTCTTCGGGGGGGAAAAACGAGGACAGCCAGTTGATCTCTTGGGGGAAAAAAAGCAGCTTTGGGACAACCGTGACCTGGATGACGGAGAATCTCCAAAGAGATAGATGGAGAATTCCAAAATTGATGGCGCATGGCTGGGGAATTCTAGGAGCTGGAAGTCCGTGGAGGCTACGAAAGGCTTCAAAATGGAAGAACAACAACGCATTTCACCCATTCTCACTTAAGCACAGAAATCTGGGTCTCCATGGTGGTCGTAAATCGAGGACTCGCCGTATTCATTGTGCCGGGGTGGAATTATATCACTACACTTTTTTTTCCCCCTGTCGTCTCTGCCATTCTCTTCCAGACCGAAGCTTTAAACGGGGGATTTAAATCTGCAGGCCAGACAGATTGCAAGTGATCCTTGACTCTGTTCCAATATCACGGCCCCCCTCCCTCTCAGCCCACCCCTCTAAATCTGTTCAGACCTCTGTTAAATCTACTGCAGCCGGCTACTCAAAAACCCGATGACCAACACCGCCTCCCCCTCCCCCTCCATGACTTCTCCCTGTCTCATCCACCGGGAATTATCTTGACTGA